CTCCCCATCCTCCAGACTGCTGGCTTTGTTAATAAAGCTTGGATTGGATAGCTCTTGGTCTCTGTGATTGACTACAGTGACAGGCAGCAAACCCTCATTTTCGTGTGGCAGTACCATCTCCCAGGGAAGATTTCTTCCTTCCCAGTAGCCAACTCCCATCTATCCTGAGGCTGGTGTTTGGACACACTGCCTCCAGGAAGCTTTCCCTCATGTGCCTAGACTGAACTAGGTCCCCTTCCTCTGAGTTTCCATAGTACCTGGTGCTACTTCTATGAACGCTTTTATGACATTGCCTTACAGTATGAGTTAAGTGACACCCTCTGTTAATTGTCTAGAGGGCAGGCCTTCATCTTATATGTTTGGAGTGCCCCAGACCGCATAATCCAACCAACCGTGAAGTTGTCATCTGGCCGATTCTGACTCAGGGTAACCCTATATGCGTCAGAGTAGAACTATAATCTACAGGGTTTTTAATGAAAGGAGATTGCCAGGACTTTCTTCCAAGGTGCCTCTGAATGGACTTGAACCTCCAACCTTTTGATGAGCAGCCAAGCATATTAACTGTTTGCTTCACACAGATGATAATAAACAACATTTCCTCAGCAGCACTATATGATGAGGTACATAATCTCATCGGCATCTCACAAATGGGGAAACTAAAGTCCCAAGTAAAACTTATTGAGAGTCACACAGCAGGAGTAGAGCTTGCTGTAGGACAAGCACTAGACTGTTCACCACAAAGCTGGCATGTCAAACGCACTAGCCACCCCGCCGAGAGGAAGATGAGGGTCTCTCTCTCTCTCTCTTTTTTTTTTTTTACAACTTCGGAGACCTGTAATACCAAGATCGATATGAGTGGAATCTACCTGACGGCAGTGGATTGGATTGTCCAGTTTGGGTATCCAGCTTCATAGCAGGGTTGGCTAGGCATCGCTCACACACTGACCAAGGCACAGCCCAGGGGCCAGCAAGGTGAGGTCTGGAGTTCCAGGGCCAGGTACAATCGCCCTGCTTGGAGTCTACAGGGCAGGGGCAGGGCCCTCACCTTGGCAGGTGGGGCAGCAGTGCCCAGGCCTCAGGACTGGCTCAGGGCAGGGGTTGGGCGGGCACTTCATGGGCACACAGCGAACCAGGCTCCTCTGTAATACACCAGAAGCTAGAATGCTTCCAGTTCTGATCTCAGGGAGGATGGGGTAGACAGATGCAGGCTGCCCTTGGGGGTGGGCAGGCATAGGGCAGGGATGGAGGGAGAACTTTGCTGGGTACCAGGATGGCATGTGAGGAGGCAGAAGACAGCAGGCATGGTTCAGGGTGGGTTGCAAGGGTCCAAGGCAGAGCAGAGCCTAAGAAGAGGAGAGACTCACCAGGCAGGAGCATCGGAGACAAGGGTTGGAACTGGACAGGAAACTGGCCCCCTCCTCATAAAGCTTGCCCTCGTACTCACAGCCTGGGGGTGGGAGAGGGTTCCAGGATGATCATTGCACCACCGAGCAGGGATGTGTGACCCCATGCAGGTGCTGGACACTTGAAGGCTGGGATGGGTGAAGGGCAGGGTGAGGTGGGGGTGGGGAGGTCACCTGGCCGGCAGACAGGACAGCATTCGCCAGGTGGAGTGTAGCTCTCCAGGCAGTTGAGTTCTGGGCAAGAGGGCCCCTGGCACAGCACGGTCCCTGCCTGTGGGGCAGACACTGAGCCCTCCCTTCCCCTCCACTGCCCAAGTCTCTAACTTACACTGCTGGCCCCAAGGCTGAGACAGCAGCAGACCTGCCTGGCTCCCAGATCTGGCTTAACGCTTGAGTCCTGCGGTATACCAAGCAGCAGGGAGAGGCACGGAGGGCATCTGGGCCAGGCCAATTCCCTTACCTGGCAAGTGCAGGTGACACAGGGCTCTGGATGCCACGTTTCCCCAGCCCCACGGCCCCCAGGACAGCCTGCAAGACCAGGGCCAGGCCCCCAAGTAAGAGACTCAGAGGACTGGGGTATAAACATGCAGAGGCCTCTTCACTGATGTCTGCTCAGGTGCCAGTGATGGGTGGTCTTTCTATGTAGCACAAGTGACAGTGATGTATCCAACTCTAGTATACAAGCATATCTAAGAGAGATTGTGGGTTCGGTTCCAGATCACTGCAATCAAATGACTATGCCAATAAAGTGAGTCATATGAATATTTTGACTTCCCAGTGCCTGTGAAAGTTCTGTTTACACTATACGGTTGTCAGTGAAGAGTACATTAGAATTACAGAAAAGTTTGAACTATTGTGAGAATGACCAAAATGTGACACGGAGACATGAAGGGAACACATGTGTCGGGACAATAGCACCAACAGGCTCACTAAGTGCAGGCTTGTCACAAACTTTCAATCTGTATTTGAAAAATAAAATAAAAACAAACAAAGCAGTATCTGCAAAGTTCAGTAAAGCGCAGTGCAATAAAACGAGGTGGGTCCATATGTCTATCATTTGACAACAGACCAGTGTCTTCATGAAGGGGTATCTTGCCAATGGGATCCTGTGAACTAGCAGTGGGCTCACAGCACAGAGCGCTCTGCAAGCTGAATGTGTCTCCTTCAGTTCCCCAGACTTCACTCCAAAGCCTCGTAGGCGATATTTCCAATTCCGAGCCTTGGTTCCACTTTTCTCATTCCCAGCTGAGATTCTTCCCCAGACAGGCTCCCAGACATCATATAAGATGTCCATTATAAGTATGTGTAAAATATTGCAACTTATCCACATAGTACCTACTCACACTACAAAAATGATGTGTTGCTTATCTGAAAATCAAATATAACTACGTGTCGTGTATATTTATTTGCTAAATCTGGCAGTTCCATTCCCTAACTTTGAGCTAGTAACTCCAACACCCTCGGCAGAGCCAACTGCTTCCTCTTCCTCTTTTCATGTTATTAGCATCATAGTTTGGACCCCACTATTCTATGGAGTCCTGGTGTGGCGCTGTGGGTTAATGCGCCAGACTGCAAAGCCGTTTGAACTGCAAGGTTGGCGGTTCAAGCTCACCAGTTACTCCTCGGAAACCATATACAGGGTTGCTATGGATCGGAACTGACTCGACAGCACTTAACAACAAAAACAATTCTATGGAATCCAACCAGTCACCAACTTCTGCCTCTTCTGTAGCCCACAGCCACTGGCTTCATCTCCAGCAGCCCTCCTTGCATCTAACCCATGCCAGATGGATATCCTAAAACACCTCTTTGTACACATCACATTCTGGGTAACATTGACAAGAAGGGGAACTCCAGAACACTTCATTGTGCTCATACAGAACCTGCTCGTAGACCAAGAGGCAGTCATTCAGACAGAACAAGAGTGTACTGAGTACTTTAAAATCTGGAAAAGGGTGTATACTTTCACCCTATTACTCATTCTGTATGTTGAACAAGTAATCCAGTAATTCTATACGTTGACCTTATGAAGAGGAACGTGGTATCAGGAGTCGAGGAAGACTCTTTAACAACCTGTGCTATGCAGATGATACAACCTTGCTTGTTGAAAGCAAAAAAAGATGAAGTATTTGCTGATGCAGGTCAAAGACTACTGTCTTCCGTATAGTTCACACTCAATGTAAAGAAAACAAAAATCCTCACAACTGAAAACCACAAATACCACCATGATCAATGGAGAAAAGATTGAAGTTGTCAGGGATTTCATTTTACTTAGATCAATCAGCACCCGTGGAAGTAGCAGCCAAGAAATCAAGTGACGTATTGCATTAGGCAAGTCTACTGAAAGGCAAAGATGTCACTTTAAGGACTAAGGGGCACTTGAGTCTCAGGCCATGGTATTGTTCATTGTCCTCCTAGGCATGTAAAAGCTGGACAGTGAATAAGGAATACCAGTGACGAATTGATAGAATTGAATCATAGTGTTGGCAATGCATAGTCACTACACCATGGACCTCCAGGAGAGCAAACAAGTCTGTTTTGGAAGAAGTTCCACTGGACTGCTCCTAAGAAGTGAGGCTACTAAGATTTTGCCTCACGTACTTTGCTATGAGGAGGGACCAGTCCCTGGAGAAGGACATCCTGTTTGGTAAAGTACAGGGTCAGTGAAAAAGAGGAAGACCGTCAAGGAGATGGATTGACACCATGGCAACAACAATGGGCTCAAATGTAGCCATGATTGTGAGGGTGGCACAGGACAGGGCAGTGTGTTGTTCTGTTGGTCAGAGTGTTGCTATGCGTCAGAACCAACTCAGTGACCCTAACCACAGCAATACATACTGGCTCTTCAACCTTCATCCATGGCTCCCCATTGCCCATGAAAGAAAGTCTAAACATCCAGGCTCACTGCAGCTTACTGTCACTGACCTTCCCAGACTGTGTTCCTGCGCACACCTGCTTTCACCCTGTTCTTGTGCTTCAAATGATGAATGCCACTTCCCCTTGGGACTCAGCTCAGATGACCCAGTCTCTGTGAAGCCCCCTCACTGCCTAGTCTAGATCCTCTCCTCTGGCAACTAAACACATATGGTCCTTCTCCAGCTCTCCTTAATCCAACTATTGAATTTTAACTCTTGTGCTATATTGTTGTCATTACTAAAGCCATTGAGTCAGTTCTGACTCATAGTCAGACCCTGAATAGGGTTTCTAGGGAGCAACTGGTGGAGTTGAACTGCCAACTTTGTGGTTCAGACTCTAGCGCTGATCCTACAGTACCACACCAGGAGTTCATATTATCGATAAGCTTATCTTTTCAACTAGTGAAAACAGACTACATTCCTCAAAGCCTCTGGCCAATTCCTACCCAGAGTCAGTGTCTGCTCCCCAAGATGTGGTCTGAGTGAGTAGACAGGCCCCCACACTTGCTCACACTCAGGGAACAGAACCACAGCTCTGGATTTCCCTGGAGCATGTGCAAGGGGCAGGCAGGGGCTGGCAAGCGCTGACCTGGCTCACAGTGTGGACAGCATGTTCCAGGCTCAGGGCAGGGTTCTTCTGGACAAAGCTTCTGAGTACAGGTTACTGTCCTGTCCTGTGGGGAAGCAGACTTGTGGCTTCACGGGATGGGTGTGGAGAGGCAGGTTATCTAAAACCAAATCCCACCCCAGACTAGGACAAGACAGAAAGTTAAGATCTGGGCTGGTGTGGGATGTGTGGGCTGCCCTTGGGCCAAGGTAGAAAAGGGGCATCCTGTCCCCGTCCTATCCTCTCTTGCTGCTCTTGTCCCTGTAAGATAATACATTCTCCATGATGAAGACATCAGGAAGTAAGCCAGGGCATCTCTCTATGGAGAGGTGAGGAAGAAGGAATCATATATATAGGTAAAGGGGTGACGTAGAAAAACAGCAAACATCCCCCATACCATGGTCTGCCAGGCCTAAATCAGAGGGGCCCGCAGGGATCCCCACCATGTAGAGGTTGTACTGGGAGGAAGGGATCAGTTGAAGATCACAAGTGGTACTGTTCAGGAGGAGAGGTTTCTGGAAGCCACTACCTGACATTAAATACACCAGATTAGAGGGACAAGTAGTGAAGTGAGCCAGGGACAGGGTCACGGGGACTCACCTGGCAGAGGCAAGTGGTACAGGTGTCTGGCGAGAAGGTCTCCCCATTGCCATAGTCCCGACCATTGTGGGTACAGCCTGTGGAAGAGACAGGGCCATCACTTGGGCACACAGGGCCCTCTCCTGACCCCTGGGGCCCCTGGTACAATGGGCAGCACTCACCATGGCACTGGGATAGGCCAGGCTTGGGGCCACAGCGGGAAACCCCATCCTGGCATAGGCAGACTGTGCAGGCATCCGGCTCCCAGTGTGCCCCCTCAGGCCAGGCCCGGCCCAGCGCCCAGCACTGAGGGCCAGCTGGGCGGCACTCACAGCTCTCCAGCTGCCTCACCCGGACCTGTAGGTCCTTGTTCTGTGGGAAGGAGGAGAGAGAAAGGGCTGGCCCACCATCCTGCACCATCTCCCTCACATTTGTGGGGTGTAGAAACAAGGGCAGGAGCAGAGGAGAGTCCCCACTGGCCAGCATCAGCTCAGAGCCTCATAGCTCTTGGGGCCTGGGGTCTGGACAGAATGTTGTGGAGACTGGGGACTGGGCTCCTCCACTGCACAGAATGGACACAGAATCCCCCCCAACTGTTATATTTCTTCCCATCTAAGCTTGTATAGAGCAGCAAACAAGAAGCCAATCCAAACTATTGTCAGCACTTAAGGCAGAACTGTGTCAGAGTGGGACTGTGCTCCACAGTGTCTTCCAGTGGCTCATTGGATGCCTTTCCTCTGCGACATCTCCAAGTGGATTTGAAGACCAACCTTTTGGTAAGCAGCTACTAAGTGCTTAACCATTTGAACCACCCAGGGACTATTATGTACCGTAGTAGTAGGTGGTCCACAATGTCTACCAAAGGCAGGAAAGACTATGAACATCTGGGGATACCCTGGTGCACATTTCATATCAAGAAAAAGGATATTTCTAACATGTTACCCTGTTAACAGAGTGGATTACGAGTTGGATTGCTAACCACAAGATCAGCAATTTGAATCTACCAGCTGCTCTGCAGGATAAAGATGCGGTTTTCTGCTCTTACAGTCTCAGAAACCCTATACAGGGCCTCTATGAGTTGGCTCCGACACCAGATAGAGGTTTGGAGGTAAATTAGCAGTGTGGTGAATCTAGCCATTGATGTCAGTCAGCTTCAGACAACAACAGCAATAATCAGCTAATTAAAGCAAGTGCCTTGTGGGCAGGGGGCATTTGTGCAGGGCTGAGATTGTTCATGTAAGAACCTCTGCACATCCACAACAAGACCCGGGTCTATTTTGTTGTTGTTGTCGTTAAGTGCTCTCGAGTTGATTCCAACTCATAGCAACCTTGTATGTTGTTGTTGTTAATTCCAACTCATAGCGACCCTATATAGGATTTCTGAGGAGCGGCTGGTGGGGTTCGAAGATCAGTGCTGATCCAACAGCACCATACCAGGAGTCCTAGAAACCTCGTATAGGGTTTCTGAAATTTAAAATCTTTGTCAGAGCAGAAAGTCTCATCTTTCTCCTGCTGACTGGTGGGCTTGAACCACTAACCTTGTGGTTTGCAGTCCAGAATTTATCCTATAGAACCGCCACGCTCCCTGGGTCTACTTTGTTGTTGTTGTTAAGTGCCATCGAATTCCAATTCACAGAATCCCTGTAGAGGGTTTCCAAGGATGAACTGGTGGGTTTTAACTGCCAACTTTGTTGTTGTTGTTATGTGCCATGGAGTCAGTTCCGACTCATAGCGACCCTGTACAGGGTTTCCGAGGCTGTAAATCTTTACGGGAGCAGAAAGCCTCATCTTTCTCCTGCGGAACAGTTAGTAGTTTCGAACTGCTGACCTTAAGGTTTGCAGCCTGATTCGTAACCACTACGCTACCAGAGTTCCTTTTTTTTTTTTTTGCCAAGTTTGTGGCTAGTAGTCCAGTGTTTATGCAACAGCATCACACCAGGACTCTGGTGGTGCTGTGGGTTAGGTGTTGGACTGCTCACCACAAAGTTGGTTCAAACCCACCAGCCGTTCGTTCATCAGGAGAAACATCAGTGTGTCTACTCCCGTAAGGATTTACAGTCTCTGGTTGGCTTTTTGAGTGTCAAGCAAGCTGTTTGCTTTGAAGGCATCGAGGCATGAAAAGTCAGGGGAAACCCCCTTCTAGGACTGAAAGTTAAAGAGAGCCCACAAGCCCCCTTCTAGGACTGAAAGTTAAAGAGAGCCCACAAGCAGTCTAGCATGCTTGCTGGTGATCACTTGGGTTTACTTGTGAGTAGAATTGGGGGGAATGCAGCAATGAAGACATGGGCTGAGTTTGGACATGTTCCATTGGCATCTGTTGACCTTGAGATGAGAGAGTGAAGAGGAAGGGTTGGCTGGTCTGAAGTTTAAGGAGCCATGTGAACTCCTGAGCCTATAGGCACTGACCTAGCTCCTTGGGGCTAGGACTAAGAGTGAAATGACCAGCTGGTCTGAAGTACAGGGTGGTATGTGTGAACTCCCAAACTTGTAGCTGGTACCCATTTGGCCTAGTTTGGATGACTAGGGCTGAGCTGTCCAGAACTCAACCAGATGAAGATAAAGCTGTTTGATACCGTGAGCAAGTACAAATTGCTACCATTTGATGAACTGGACTTTCGGATTCAATGAACTGCTTATGGATGCAATTGCTTAAAATTCTAACCAGAATGGAAAATTCTTCGTATTAAGGAACATGCTTGTCTCCTCTGTGTACTGGGGTGATGTTGTTGTTGTTGTTGTGAAATGCCATTGATTTGGTTTCGACCCACAGCAACCCTGTATAGGGTTTCCAAGGAGCAGCTGGTGAGCTTGAACTGCCTACCTTGCAGTTTAAATGGCTTTACAGTCTGGTGCATTAACCCACAGCGCCAACCAGGACTCCACTGAGGTGATAGGAATGGGCAATTTAGACATTGCCTATCCAAAATGGGGATGGGAGGACTGGACTATAAAGGCATGAAGTGGCGGGCTTACAAGCTTTCTTGAGTGTGCTTAGCTTCAGAATGAGGGGGAAAGGTAGAGTCCCCACTGAACAGTTTCCCTCTTCTCCAGATGGGTCTAGGTAAAAGGGGGAGGGGGATGATGTGGATGGGATCTTATGATTCAAATATGAGTAATTGTTAGCAGGATTAATCGTGATGGTCACAAGTGTATTTGTGGAAGATGTGTAACTAAAAGGGGGAAGTAGTTAATCTTTCATTTCAGGAACTGATGATGTAGGCCCATAGACTGAGGAAAGCTGTGTGCCTGCGGGCAGGAGGCTGGCTTGCAGAATGTGCCCTTTGGACATTTAAATGAACATATCTTTTTTGTTTTGTATGTGGGCATCAAATTTTTTTGCTTTGTTTATTTGTGAAATATAAGATGTAAATGGGGATCCACAGAGAGGAGGTAGAATACTTGCTGTTGCAGGGAGGTGATTGTAATCACTGAGATGAAACAGAGTGTATGATTTGTTGAATGTAAAGCTGGCTGATGATCTTGTTTGTAAATCTTCAATTCAGTTAAAAAAAGTTTATTAAAAAAAAGATTTCCAGTCTTAGAAATCCTTAATAAGGTTGCTACGACTTCGAGTAGACTCAATGACGGTGGTTTGGTTTGAGGTTTAGGACCCTCAAAAGGTGTTCCAATGATGTAGTGGGTTAAGCACTGCGTCGCTAACTTAAAGATTGGTGGTTTAAACCAACTAGCCACTGCACAGGAGAAAGATGGGTAGTCCGCTTCCATCAGGCTTCACAGCCCCGGAAACTCTATACGGGGTCGCTATGAGTCAGAATCAACAAAATGGTTTGCTTTGAGGTCCGGCTCATAGCCACCCTGTAGAGGGCTTCCAAGGAGTGGCTGGTGGGTTTGAACCACCGACCTTGTGGTTAGCAGTCCAGTGCTTATCCAACAGCATCACACTAGGACTCTGAGTCTACCTTGGTAGTTATGTGCCGTGGAGTTGGTTCCGACTCATAGCGACGCTGCATAGGGTTTCCTAGGCTACCCTGAACAGGGTCACTATGAGTCGGAATCAACTCCACAGCACATAATCAGCACCACCAAATCTTTCTGGGAGCAGAAAGCCTCATCTTCCTCTCGCAGAACAGCTGGTAGTTTCAGTTTCATACTGCTGTTGTTGTTATTGTAGTTAAGTGCCATCGAGTAGGTTCCGATCCATAGCGACCCTGAACAGGGTTTCCGAGGCTGTAAATCTTTACGGGAGCAGAAAGCCTCATCTTTCTCCCGCGGAGCAGCTGGTAGTTTCGAACTGCTGACCTTGCGGTTTGCAGCCCAATTCGTAACCACTACGCTACCAGAGGCCTCTCAAAAGGAGCCCTGGTGGCATCGTGGGTTAACTATCGGGTTACCAACCAAAGTGCCAGTCTGAACCCACCAGCCACTCTACAGGAAAGATGAGATAGTCTGCTTCTGTAGGACTCCTGGTGTGGCGCTGTAGGATCAGCACTGGACTGTGAACCACAAGGTCGGTGGTTCAAACCCACCAGCTGCTCCTTGGAAACCGTGTACAGGGTCACTATGAGTCTAAATAAACTCCACAACACTTCCCAACACCAACAAGTCTGCTTCCATACAGATTGACAGCAGGTCTATTTAGCCCTAGGGTCACTATGAATTATGAATGGCTATCGGCTCTTCAGCAGTGGGTTTTGCTAGGTTATGCCCTTCACCAACCCCTTCTCTTCTTTCAGGGGACTCACGCACCCCACCTCCCTACCCCCACCCCACCTCCAATGGTACCTGCTCCCGGAGCTCCACCACCTCAGCCTCCAGACGCCCCAACCTCTCCTCCAGGGGGTGCTGCTCGTGGTGGGTCCCATGAAGGGACGAAGAGCGGTGGGCAGGTGCTTGCTGCTGGTAGTTATGGAGCTCAGCCAGCCTGGGAGGCTGTGTGGAGACAACCCCACCTGAGAGACACAAGAAACTAGTGTGGGTCTCCAAGTAAGGAGCTTGTGAGTTTCCTGGGTTCTGTCCTCTGAGTTCACCTCCCCACCCACCATTCCAGGAAGGCGACATGGTTTGTGGGAGTGCTCAGTGAAGGAGGAGGAAACCCTGAGGTGACAAAAGTGACCCAGGGCTCTGCAGGATCCTCTGATCCCATGGGGAGGTGAGAGAATGGGAGAGGACCCAGCCTTCCATGACTCTTCAGGGTCCTTGGACATGGCGAGGAGATAGCACATCATCCACCCTCATTCTGGGAGGCTGACTGCAGGACAAGGTGTTATGTGTGGGAGGCAGGGTACCTGGGAACATGTGAGTAAACCACTCTCAGAGAAAGTGTTCTGGAGGGTGTAGTCAGTCTTCAGCACCCACCTCCTGTGGTAGAGGGTCCTGAGGACCCCCATGTTGAGCAGGAGTGGGCTCTAGAAAGTGACACTTGGCTGTGTTTCCTAAAGGGCCAGGGGAACGGCTGGACAGGGCCCCCACATAGATCTTAACACTCCAGGCCAGATGAAGAAAGTGAGTGCCCCTGAGTTCAAGTTCAGGCCTGGGGACAGGGACCCATCACTTTCACCTTGTCCCTTTGACCCCTCTCCTGTAGTCCAGAAATTTAACCAAAACAAAACCCAGGGCTATGAAGCCTCCAAGGCTGCAATGTTTATGGAGGACTTGTGGTGTGGTGCTGTGAGTCAGCACTGGACTGCAAGCCACAAGGTTTGTAGTTCAAACCCATCCGCTGCTCCTCGAAAACCCTATACAGGGTCACTATGAGTCAGAATTGACTCAATGGCACTAAACAACAAACTCTTTATGGGCACAGACTGTCACATTTTTCTCCTGTGGAGCAGTTGGTGGGTTCAAACTGCCACCCTTTTGGTTTGTAGCCAACTGCTCAACCACTGGACCACCAGAGCTTCTTTCAGAAAAGTAAAGGCTGACTGGAGGCGATTGGTCCCCACTAACATCAATCATTCTGGTGGGGGTAGGCACGCAACTGACGTCAGTCCCTAGGAGGGAGGGGAGGGCTGCTCAAAGGCGGGGCGAGAGTGGCTAAGAGGGCTTCCCAGGGGACTAGGGACAATCGGTCTATGAGGAGACCACTCCCCCACCCCAACTGCCACCACAAAACCTAACTTGTCCTCCTTGTAAACTTTGCCCAGAGTTCTCCCAACTGGAGATGGTCATCCTCATTCGCCCAGTTGCCCAAGGCAGAAATCTGGGCTCAGCCTCCCTCTTTTCTATCCCCAAGTCCCATTAGTCTTGCGGTTCCTCCCCATCCTGTTTTCACTGGAAGGTAAAGCTTCTCGACCTTCCCACCCCCGCTCTTCTGCCCCAGGAGTCCTTCTGAATCATATATCTGCCTGCCCCCAGCAGCAAGTTCCCAAGTACCTCCGATCTCTCAGGCTGCCCCCTTTACCACCCCAACCTGGACCCACCAGGGGGTTCCATCCCCAGCTTTGCTCAGGAAACTGGTTCCACCCCACACACACACAGCACTTAGTCTTGGTATCTCTTCCAGGGTCAGCAAGAAAGGGGTCTCAGCACCTTCACCCTCTACCCAAGCTAGGTTCTCATCTGGTGTGCCCACCCCCACCCCCCCAGGATTCTGACTTGGCCCAGGCAATCCCTCCAGTCCTGCTTTAACAATAGGGGTCAGGGAGAAGATAGGGGTCCTGTGGGATCCTGCCTGGGTGATCTGCAGAAAGGGCTCATGGGGGTTCACAGGTCTGATGGTTCCCCAGGGACTGTCCTTGCTCCTCTCACCCCCACTACATTCCTACCCTGACTCCCCTATTTCAGTCTTCTCCCCCTTCCCCGGGGGCAGGGCCAGGCTTGAGACAAAGTCAGCTTCCAATGTAGCCTCCTCATTTTTCCTCTTTCTCAACATAAATAATTAACTTCAGATTTCCAGATTCCAGAATAGTCTCTCCCCCACGGTTGCCTGCAAGAATTCCTCCAAAGGCCCGAGCAGGACGCCCCATACCTCTCGGGGGGGGGCCCCTGCCCTGGCCTCCAGACTGCCCCATCTGACTCACTGTCATGGTTGACACTGGCCTGAGGGGTACCGAGGCAGGGCTGCGACAAGAAGCCCCGGCCAGGCTCTTCCTTATGCCAGAGGTGGAGTTGCTTCTGCTGCCCCCAAGCCCTGGTGCCCCACTTACCCCTGATGGGCTCTGTGGCCAGCACCAGGCTCGCGAGCTGCAGGCTGAGAGGCAGCAGGGCAGCCCTGAGCCCAGCCATGCTCGGCGGTCGTCGCGGCTCAGCGGGCGTGGGGAAGGCGGGTGCGAGACACCAGGCCGCCTCCCACCGTCTTTGTTCATCCCGCCCGCGGCTCCCGCCCCCACCCCCACCCCAGGCTCCTCAGTCTGACTCTGGGTCCTCTGACCCCAGTCCAGTTCAGAAGCATCCTGGGGTCAGCGCTAGATCCACAGGAAGCTGGGCGGGGTCAGGACCAAGTCTCTCCTGGGAGCCCAGAAGCTGCTGCTGCTGTTAAGAACTGTTGAGTCGGTTCCGACCCAGAAGAGACCCTAAAAATACAAGTAAACACAAATTCGTTACTCTCAGGCTCGGGGACCACCGCTCGCCCTGCCCCCTTAGGCCCTGAGGCTCCCAGTTTAGCATTTTCCCCCTCCCCCATTGAGTCCAAGAGAAACAGTACTGCTGTGAAGACAGGAGGGATCTGGATTCAAATCCCTACTTTGCAATTCTCTGTATCCTGGAGTCTCAGTTTCCCAATTGTAATCTGAGGGTCACAACATCTGCTTTCTAAACTGACAGTGAGGATGAAGAGCAATTATACAGAAAGAATTTAGGGTAGTGGTTACACAGGGTAAGTGGTAGCTAACTCAGTCCTGTCCTCTTCTCTCCACCTGTGATTCTTTCCTGGACCCTACTCACCACCCCTACCACCCCAGCAGGCCCAGGTGTGACCCCACATGCAAGGCCTCCTATGGCTGCTGGTCCTAAGCACTGGCCTGGCCCCTGGGTTAGTTTGGGCAGTAGGGGCAAAGGGAGGAAGTGAGGACAGCTGTCCACGTGGTCCACATGGCTGAGAAAGTCATCTTTCATCTGGCAGCTGGAAGCAGAGGGCGGTCTGCAAAGGGGCCCCAAGCTCACAGCAGAGAGAGACAGTGAGTTGGAGCTAGGAACCGTGACAAAGCAGTCTCCCTTCCTGTCATAAAGACCAGCAATTCACAAGTCCCCTCCCGAGCTCCACAGGGACTAAAGGTCTCTGCAGTCACTCTCTGTGCTTACAGCTCCATTGGAGAGATGGCTGAGTCTCCCCAAGGAGTGTGGGCGCCTCATAGGAGCCTGAGCTATTGCAGGGGGTGGGGGACTGTGGCTCAAAGTTGAGACGTGACCTCAACTGTCCTAGAGCTAGGCTCAGTGGAGCAGAGGAAAGCTGGGCCAACAGCCAGAAAAGGCATAAGGAAGCAGCAGCACCATCTACACCAGGATGTATATAAGGAGTCCTGCGGTGTGGGGCGCTGCGGATTAATGCGCTAGACCCACAGGGTTGGCGGTTCAAACTCACCAGCCGCTCTTTGGAAACCCTATACAGGGTTGCTATGAGTCGGAACTGACAGCACTTAACAACAACAAGTGTGGTATAAGGCAAAACTCCCTGAGTGGTACAGAGAGTTAAGTGCTTGACTGCTAAACTAAACATTATCATTTCAAATACACCCATATGTTCTGAAACACCACAGTCATTGAAAACTCTACTCTGACACACATGAGGGTTGGAATCAATTCTATAGCAGCTGGTTTGGCAGTTGGTTAGGTGGTGGAGAGCTTTGGCCAGGTCCTGGGTCTAACGCTATGTGGCCTTTTTGTCTAGTTAATTCCAACTCATGGTGACCCCATGTGCACCAAGTAGAACTTAAGTTTTCAAGGCTGTGACCTTCCAGAAGCAGACTGCCAGGACAGTTTTCCAAGGTACCTCCAGGTGGGTTTGAACTGCCAACCTTTCAGTAGTTAATCCACCCAGGGTTCCTTGTGTGACGATAGGCAAGTCATTCAGCATCTTGGTGACATTTTCCTTAGCTGTGACATGCCCGTCTACCTACACCCCTTCATACAAGTCTGTGGGAATTAAGTAAATTGACATCTGTTGAGATCTCTCAAGACCTAGGCCTGAGCTGTTGCCTCTAGTCTTTGCCCTAACCACTAGGGTGGGGTTGCTGTTAGCATCATTGCACAGTGAGGAAGCTAAGAGAAGCTGGGTCACATGTTCAAGGTCACGTTGGGAATAAACCATAGGGCTTAGACTCAATGTCACACCTTGGGTCCCCAGGGTCCAGCTAGGCTTTATGGGAGCATAAAAAAACCCATCTTTCACCTGAGGATCAGCTGATGGCTTTGAACCACTAACTTTATGGTTAGCAACCCAATGCTTATCCCACAGTACCACCAGGGCTCCTCTGTACAACCCTACTTTATAAAGCCGTCCGAGTCTACCCAACTCTCTGTCCCCATAGCATCTGCTTCAGCCCCAGTAACTACCCCTTCCCTCCTCACCACCCTCGGACCTCCTGAATGACGCTGGGGAATATGTCGGACCTAGATGACTGGTTTCACTTCAAATTCATGACCACAAACGTCCAGGGATACTCAGCACTGGCCAGGAACCCCACCACAATTCCCTGAGAAATTCATCTTCCCAGGCTCTGGAAGGGGTGCTTTACACTCTCCATCCTCCTCAAACTTTCCAATGGCTCCACCTAGGCATTCCATAGTTTTAAAAAATAATTTGTGTGTGTGTGCTAAAAAACATAACAAAAATCTGCAATTTCTGTGATTGTCACAACTGTAAAAGTAGAAGTTTCGTAACATAAAGGGGGAAGTAGTTAATTTTACATTCCAGGAACAGAGGACCGACCAAGGGAGAAGAGCACGAGAGGAATGTGGAACCTTATCCAGAGAAGCAGCGACACCAGAGATGGAGGCAGAGATGAGGACATGAGAGAGGGAGCAGTGGAGGACTCTACACTCATGGAAAGACAGGGATGAGTGCTGGTGGCCAGAAGGCAGGCTTGCAGAATGTGCCCTTGGCTGTTTACATAATTATATATTCCTGAGTGTTTTGTGTACATCAAAAAAACAAACAAACAGAGGGAATGGGAGCAAATGCTGTTGAATGATGATGCATGGAGGGGATTGTAATCATTGCAATGAAACGAAATACAATAGGATGAATGTAAAACCGATGTTCTTCCATGTAGACTATCACTCAATAAAAACTTAAAAAACAAAAAAACCAACTGCAATTTCAATTTCAATTTTTGTTTTATGTTGTTGTTGTTGTTAGGTGCCATCGAGTTGGCACCAACTCATAGTGACCTTATGCACAGCAGAACAAAACACTGCCCAATCCTGGGCCAACCTCACTACCGCTGCCACACTTGAGTCCCTCAATGATGCCACCTGGCCAATCCATCTCGTTAGGGGTCTTCCTCTTTTTCTCTGACCCTCCATCTTAGTAAACATGACATCCTTCTCCAGGTACTGTTCTCTGCTGACAATATGCCCAAAGTATGAGAGACGAAGTTTGGCCATCTTGGCCTCCAAGGAGCACTCTGACTGCACTTCTTCCAACACAGATCTATTGGTTCTTTTGGCAGTCCATGGCACTTTCAGTATTCTCCTCCAACACCATAACTCAAAGGCATCAATTCTTCTATAGTCTTCCTTATTCACTGTCCAGCTTTTGCATGCATATGAGGTTATTGAAAATACCATGGCTTGGGTCAGGCGTACCTTAGTCCTCAAGCTGTCATCTTTGCTAACATCTTTGCTTTTATACAGAGCCAGTAATTACAGTCACCTTGTTATGAAACCACTACATTGTGCTTCCAATCATTTTCAATTCCTTAAAGACTCAGTGTCCCTAAACAGTATGATTTGGGCAAGTTACTCATTAACAACCTGCAATATGCAGATGATACAACCTAGCTTACTGAAAGTGAAGTGGACTTAAAATACTTACTTATGAAGATCAAAGAGCACGGCCTTTGGTATGGATTGCATCTCAATATAAAGAAAACAAAAATCCTCACCACTGACCAATAAAACAACATTTTTATCAATGGAGAAAAGATAGAAGTTGTCAAGGACTTCATTCTTCTTGGATCAACTATCAACACTCATGAAAGCAGCAGTCAAGAAATCAAATGACGTATGGCATTAGGCAAATCTGTTGCACAAGACCTTTTTAAAGTGTTGAAGAGCAAAGATGTCAGTTTAAGGACTAAGGTGAGCCTGACCCAAGCCATGGTATTTTCAATCAACTCATATACATGTGAAAGCTGGACAGTGAATAAGGAAGACCATAGAAGAATTGATGCTTTTGAGTTATGGTGTTGGAAGAGAATATTGAAAGTGCCGTGGGTTGCCAAAAGAACCAACAGATCTGTATTAGAAGAAGTGCAGTCAGAGTGCTCCTTGGAGACCAAGATGGCCAAACTTCGTCTCTCATATTTGGGACATATTGTCAGGAGGGACCAGTCACTGGAGAAGGATTTCATGTTTGGTAAGATGTAGGGTCAGAGAAGATGAGGAAGACCCCCAGCAAGATGGATTGGCAAAGTGGCAGCATCAATGGGTTCAAGCGTGGAAACAACTGTGAGGTTGGCCCAGGATCGGGCAGTGTTCTGTTCTGTTGTACATAGGGTTGCTATGAGTCGGTACTGACTCAATGGCACCTAACAACAACAACAATGTGAAATACTGAGTCCTGGTGTGGTACTGTATGTAGTGTAGGATCAGCACTGGACTGCTAGCCACACAGTTGATGGTTCAAACCCACCAGCCGCTCCTTGGAAACCTTATACAGGGTCGCTGTGAGTCAGAGCTGACTAGATGGCACTTAACAACAACAACAATGTGAAATAGAGGAACCCTGGTTGTGTCATGGTTAAGTGCTTGGTGTAGTTAAGCGAATGGTTGGTGGTTCAAATGCACCTGCTGCTTGGTTGAAGAAAGATGTGGCAGTCTGCTTTCATGAAGCTAATGACTTTGGAATCCCTATGGGGCACTTCCACTCTGTCCTATAGGGCCCCTTTGAGTGAAATCAACTCAATGGCAGTGGGTAATGGGTAATGTAAAATGGGGGCGATCATAGTACCTCTGCTGGAGCAGTGGTCCAGTTTGTCTGCACCAGGGTTCTTGGGAAAGCAGAGCCTGAGGTCCATGCAAGTTTCTTTTGGAATATGATCCCAGAGAGCAGGGACGTGGGATGG